AATAAGAAATATATACTTTCGAGCCGCAACTTACTCGGTTTTAAACATGATTTTAAACCTACACGATCGAATATATATTTTCTTTTTTTTTTTTTCTTTTCTTTTTTTAACGTCCTGTTCCACATAAATCACATAACCTAATGTCAGGAAGAAAAGTTTAATCCATTAAGTTCTCTCCCCAATATGAAAGATTTTCTGACTTTCTTGCTACACATATCGTGTTTGTAGCATTTCTTAATCGTTCTGTGATATGGCTATCCTTTTATGTGAGAAATGTCCTCGACAAAAAATTAGATTGTAAACACGTTAACAATATCCATGAAAAGCTATTAAACGCGAGTGTAATGCTAAGTCTCCAATAAAAGTTTCAAGTATTTATTCATTTGAAAGCTATATCAATGGCCGAAATAGCATGGAGACGAGACCAATATCAATATGATAAAGAAAAAAAAACGAAATTCATAGCTCTGTTTATCGCTTTGCAAGCAACGATAAAAATGGTATCTTCCTTTCATGGAGTCTTTTTAAAGACCGAGAAAACATTAAATATGAGGCTAGAGAATACGATGCAGAAGCTGTCCCCTGTTGACAGAAACATTCTGCGTAAAAAGACAGTTTAGCCTATATGAACATTAAAGCGAGATGTTTGCGGAGGACGATAAGGGGTTTAAAGCTAGCAAAAGGTGGCTTCTATAACGTTATAGAACATTACTACCTGAAGACCATGGGAGAATGGACGCTGGCCAATACGGAAATAACCGGTAGACGAAATAAACAGTTTTTTAAAAAAATCAGCGTCTATCCAAATCCGAGTACCCGCTAAAAAATAACGTTTGAAATAATATATATTGTGTGTATATGTTTAAAATTTTCTAAATACTTTCATGGTAATTGCTCCGAGAAGCTGCATTCGCTGGTTCCCAGACTTCATGAATTCAAGCGCCCTACGAAGCTGGCATCCTGCTCTCACCCTTTCACTGTAGAAATTACTAAATGTAGCCGTCTCTTCTACTCCAACAGCATCATGTCTCGAAACCTCCCGACTGTGGAACTCCCTTCCCTATTCCAGTTTCCCTGAGAGTTATAATCTCCAACTATTCAAATGTAATGTCAATCGACATCTCCAGTTGCCTTGATCTATCCACTATCCTTCTCCTCATCCTTTCCTCTATCACTCCTATCTGATCTTGCTCCAAATCTTCTGTAACCCCTTGCGTGCTAGTGGCTTCCCGCCTTGCTTGGAGTGAAACGCTTAAAAAAAAATATCTATAAGGGGAGAATGTCCAAAACACCTAAAAAAAAAAAAGTAATTGAGGAAAAATGGCTAATGTCATGTGCAAGTTTTTAACTGAAATAAAAGTGTCCTTTTCTGGAAGAAAATACCAACTCACACCTACATTCATAAGTGTCTATCAGACTGTAGTATTTAACGCTTGGGAACAATGACTTACTTTGATGCTAGCCGACAATACAGCAGGTTATATAATCAAAGCAGGCCGAATTTAGAAAGCCAACAATCGCTGTGCCCTTAACAAAAATATGCTGCCCGTGTCTTGGTAACATTGAAGAATGCTTGAGCCAGTTGTTTTCTCTTCGATTAGTTCTACGAATACTTTACATCTGAAATGAAGAAATATCTTCGAGGGTTCGTTCTTCAAGGGTTATGATTTTATCATTGACTGGCGCCGGCCAATCTGAATCCCTGAATTATGTAAATAAACATGTTGAAGTGCTGTTTCTGCTTCCAAACTCAGTGTCACTGCTGTAGGTACTTGGTTGAAACATCATGAAGTGTACGAAGTTAACGTTCCCCTTTGCAAAGATTCACACTGCACTTGATGCTAACCAATATTGCAGTAGCATAAATTTATGGAATTGCTTCATGTTTGCAGTTGCAATTGAAATTATTGCTAAGTCTGACACGGGATTTAGAATATCAACAATCAATGGCTGCTAGAAAATAAGTCAGTTGATGATTATGGGCTTCAGTACAATTGATGGAGAAGTGAAAGAGATTTTGCGGGTTACGAGGGAAGTTGCTGGGAAAGGGATCTCTGGTAAAATTGATGGGGTCTTCAAACAAGATTTAGGAACGAAGACGTAGAAAAACTGCTGTAATTTGTTCGACAAAAAAGATGAGGAAGAAGGTTTAAAAAAATGTGTTTCATCCGTTACTATGGAAACGGGGAAGATCGCAGTATTTTTTTTAAGAGATTTAGGTATATTTAAATTTGACCCTGTCTATCGTTTTATCTATAATTACAACTGCATATACACTTTCTAATCCAAGCTTATATTCGCACGGCCAAAGGCCAGAAGTGTTGGCCACAATGAAGATCGGACTCTACAGTAGTCTAAGTTTGAAATAATAATATTTTAACCCTTGCTCCACAGAAAAGATTCTATTGGAAAGTTAGTCCCTTTACTCGAATTCCGTTCAGGTGCCATTCTAAATTTGTTTTCATAACATCGATAAGGTAAAATTTAGTTACTGAAAATTAATCGCCTTTCTGAATAATGTAACATATAGAACTAGGTTACATGTTACTAACAGCAAGAAGATAAAATTACCTAAGCTAACTGATCTCTTTTTTTTTTTCAACAGTTCTTGCATGCATGTTTCGAGAATCTCGTCAGGAAAACTGTTGAGGGGACACTGTTACGGTCGAGCCTTTCCGAGTGACATTTCAGTGCAAATTGAAAACAACCACAGGGGAAATTCGAAACCGTTTTGCTGATTTTGTAACAAACCTACAAACGGCCTTTATGCCCGATATCTCACGGGATGCCTCTGCGACAGCGACATCTCCCACAGATAGACACAGACAAAATTTACAGTGCACTAAATCGGCATAAGGAGTGTCGACATTTCTACGGCACATCCTCCATATTCGCTTTCTCATCCGCCATATTGTTTTCTTTGGTCGTTCAATCTGTTTACAAATTTCTACAATTGTCACTGAACAGGTCGTTTTTAGGAAATGACCGATTTTTCATAACTGAGTCTCATGATGATCTGTACAGTGTGCATATATGTGTGTACACACACACATATATGTGTGTGTAATTAATTAATGAGTATCAAACATTACAAACACACACACACACACACATATATATATATATATATATATATATATATATATATATATATATATATATATATATATATATATATATATATGAGAAGGAGAAACAATGATATTGATAAATGTGAACAGAGAGATGCCGCCAAGCAAAGAGTAGTGTTTCGTACGCATGCCAAAAAAAGAACAACGTAGTTACTAAGTTCGAGTCTCATGAGTTCGATATGTTTTTATATAACCAGTATTTATTGATATTACTAGTTAATATACGCGTATACGAAGGAGTGCTGAAAAACTATAATCTCAATCAAGAAGTGAGTTGCGACACTCATTTCAGCACAACCCATCTTACGGGAAAAAAAATTCTTGCTCTACCATTCCAAAACCGCGCCCAAAACATTTCAGCACTTTTTCATTTGAACCGACATAGATAGATGGATGGATGAATACTATTGGACATAGATCCATAAATCAAATACGGTGGAGTAATGGATAGCAGCTCGGATTGAGGAATCGGAGAGCCGAGTTCGAATTCCAGTCGAATCCATTAGATTCACTTACGTGCTAATACCCTTGGGAAAGTTATTAATCTTCTTCTTCTCCTCCCCCCAGGACAGACCGGGTTCTATACTGGTCTACTGCAGAAAGAAATGGCAGCCTCGTGAGTCATGTATCGAAAGGTATGATCGCCTAAGCGCGTATCACGCATGGCACATGACTGATCTAATAACATATAGCTCCTTCCTTCAACTAAATAAACGACGGCCATGCAAAGTGCCATGAAGTTTTCGAGATGTTGTTGTTGTTGTGTGGGTATAACTTTCCAGGTATGTTCCAGGGTGCTCCATAATTGAGTAGTGTGTGTCTGCAAGAAAATTAGTGAGGTCTGCAACATGTTTTCTACATGCTCAATTCAGTTTCAATCTGGTGAGTGTAGAGTTCATGCACTGCCTGTAAAATTAACCCTTAAGGAAGCATTTTAGAGTCACCAGCTCAAAAGTATCGTTCTCTCCAATCAAAAGCATCCAGATAAATTTATGATTAGACTTAGATGAATACAGTTCGCTTAGGATATATATATATATATATATATATATATATATATATATTAATCGAACCTATTCTCTTTTCCTGTGGAAGCTATTACCACCGTAGAGCAACAAATAAATATGGGCGTAAGGTCTACTTGTCAACTGTCATACATGCAATAAAAGGAAAAACTAGAAAAGTGTCAATGCCATACAATTGCAGCTCTCTCTCTCTCTCTCTCCAATTGCCAGAATGTCTTCTGTTTAGGCACCGTGGAAAAAAACATGCCTTTGTCGTGTGGGTTTCCAAAATTTATCTACGAATCAGAAATTAGAATCCATCTAAATTTTTACGAAGGCCTACCATGATATATTAGGTGCCTAGATAAATTTCAGGATCTAAAAAAAACTTAAAATACTGACTTTTAACTAAGAAATCAGTCTCGTTTTTGAAAAAAAGGGGGCCATAGGAAATTTGATAGATAGATAGATAGATAGATAGATAGATAGATATCTCATTCTGTTCAGATCTATCTATCTATCTATCTATCTATCTATCTCATTCTGTTCAGATCTATCTATCTATATATCTATCTATCTATCTCATTCTGTTCAGATCTATCTATCTATATATCTATCTATCTATCTCATTCTGTTCAGATCTATCTATCTATATATCTATCTATCTCATTCTGTTCAGATCTATCTATCTATATCTATCTCATTCTATTCAGATCTATCTATCTATCTATCTATCTATCTATATATCTATCTCATTCTATTCAGATCTATCTATCTATCTATCTATCTATCTATCTATCTATCTATCTCATTCTGTTCAGATCTATCTATCTATCTATCTATCTATCTATCTATCTATCGATAGATAGATATCTATAACTAAATATCTATAGATAGATGTCTATACATTGATAGATAGACAAATATACATAGACATATATAGATAAGGTTAAGTTTCTCAAGGACTAGCGTGAAATGTTAGCGACTCGTACTATCTTTATTCACTAATCTTTCAAACGAGTAAAGGTTTCCTGCCTTTAAAAATATCGTCAGGTACTGATCTTTGAGCAAAACTCACACACAAACATCGCAGATTTTACTTGGGCGACAAAGTACTTCTGCTCCAATATGAGGTACCCCCAAATTGATAAACAGTTAAGCTGTGAGGGAACTGACTATTATGGAATTCCTTTCGGAAAGCCACTGAACATTTCTCTTTCTCACCCACAGACGCTCTCTCTCTCTCTCTCTCTCTCTCTCACACACACACACACATATGAGAGAGAGAGAGAGAGGAGGACAGGTATACAGAAATAATAGAGAGGAGAATGTGTAAGAAACAGGTTAAGATAAATCAAATTAGTCTACGAAAGAAAAAAGATCGAATGAACTGCCAATGATATCGATAGACACAAACAGATCGCTAGTAGTTTTTTTCATTGTTTTCTCCTTAAAGTACAGCATCCACTTCGATTTCTTCCCCCTTCTCTTCAGGTAAATATATACTTACGCCTTTTTCCGATTCTTGAGTGGTGTTTTTTTTCTGTTAACGAATTTCCGGCTCGAATCCAGATAGGCATCAAATTAAACGATCCGCTGTTGATAAAAGGATTTCCCGACCAACACCACTACCACCAAAAAAAGTTATAAAAAAAAAAATAAAAGTAGGGATGAAAAATCGTTAATGATCTGTATACAGATATACGTGTACTTGTGCTCAATGTATTAATTCAAGAAAGTACGAGTTATGTGACGGTAAAGGTGAAGAATATATATATATATATATATATAGCCAGCCATGTACATAATATTAGATATTAATTGATAGCGCAACAATGCTCACAAATACACATAGTAAAAAGAACCTTCATATATTGGAGGCCATCTACATTAAAACAAATCGATTCACACTCAATTACATTTCAAACTAATTGCAACACATTACATTGCATCTAGACATATTGTTGTTAATATTTTGGTCTCTCACGTGATACGGCAGCATGAATTTACGACTAGAGTTTGCTATTCCGCGACTGCTATCGTCACATAGCAATCTTCTATGTCAATATAACAGAATATCATCTTTGATGGTAAATATCTTTGTTTAAATGCCCGCATAATCACTCTGAAGATGGCTCATGTGAGTCGAAAGCTTAGATCAAGAAAGAGTTTAATAAAGAAATGTTGGACAATTTTTGTCTTTATTTTCACCCGAAATTAAAGCAAATATACGGAGTTTAGAACGGTTCATGATCAAACATTATAGACATTCATTGTCTGTTATATTTAATAACATATATATATATATATATATATATATATATATATATATATATATTGAACAACAAAAAATATTGAAAAAATAAATCTTCAGACATACTGCGTTGTATATTAATATTCCTTCGTTTTTATTATTATTTCATTTAGATTCCTGGACTAGTTTCGGCCAACATGGCCATCATCAGGAGAAAAATTTTTTTCTGCTTGCTGGTAGCAGTATATATATATATATATATATATATATATATATATATATATATAATCTCAGATTCTATATTTTCTTACTAGTTTTGACGTAATTCTGTTTCCCAGAAACAATACTAAATAGACGCGTCCTTTTATACCTTTTTTTCTTTTCGTTTCGTTTTCTATTTTTAGTGGGTTAATCAATTGCTAAGGTATCAGTTAGTTCATTAATTCTTTACCCTCACACAATTTTGAGATACTGCCACCATTTCAAAAAACTTTGAAGTACTACTACCATTATAAAATTTCAAGTTGTGGTGACAGATATAGCCATATTCGATTTGTCAATTTTGTGAGAAGTGAGGATGATGGCAATTACATATATGCCTTCCCTTTGACTTTCTACAAGTACAAATAGCTGGATATGATCAAATTGTGTGTTAGTTACGATTTTATATATATATATGAGGTCAATTGATAAAAATCTCCTGACGATACCAAGGTTGAAACCAAGGTAGTGTATTCAACTAACCTCTTGATTTTTAAAGTTAAACGCTCTACATGTTATTTTTACTTTTTTTTCACGCGTTTATTGAACACTTTTTAATACCACAGTTTCTGAGCATGATTAACCATATATATATATATATATATATATATATATATATATATATATATAGATATATATAGATATATATATATATCGTGTAACAGCATAATTGTCCATCTCTCAAAATGTTTAATGTCTAAAAACCACTAAACTAATAGTTTATTTCTTCCCGGTTTTTAGATAAGACGTTTAACCATCTTGACGCCATTTGTCGTAAGAATCACTGAAAAACCGTTTGTGTTATTCAGCTAGAAAGAGAACAGTTTAAAATCGTTTTGCGTCAGACCAACTGTCTTCCTAAAATGAGCAATGGTAAGAGGAAAAAGATCATTCATTATTTCAACTTAGATCATTTCTAATTGATCTCTTTAACTCTAACTCAGCTGTTTGGACATTTTTCTATAAAAATGTATTTTTATACTTCCGTGGTGTTTGTATTTGTTTGGGGAGGTTCAGCTATTTCCCCATAGCTGGGACGCTTAGAGGTGCTACGACCCTGGATCAGGGTGGACCTGGAAACATCAGCAGTTAAGAGGTTCACGTTCATCAAAACATCCAATCTCCCAATCAGAGGTCTTGCAGCTGGATTTAGTTCATCGTCGTACCCAGAATGAAAATGTCACCCAGGAAAAAAAATGAAAAAAAAAATTCAAACTTGTTTTCTGGAATTTTAAGTAGAACATCGACAACTCACTGACCCAAAATGTCACTAAGAGTAAAAAAGCAGGATTTGTGCCCCTTTTTCTGCATTTACGATATAATTAACTGTTAATAATTAGTTAATTGTAACGAATCAATTGGTGCTGTTTTAATGAAGATTATTTCATTTGACATTTTTATGGTCAATTTGTTTGGCTTCAAAAATACCTTGCATAACATAATCATCATAGCAAGCCGTTCTTTTGTTAAAAGGGATTTGAAAGCCAAAATGATTAACCGGGCTTAATTGACATATTAAAGGCGATGTATAAATGTGGTCTTCTGCCACGTTTATAAAACGTCCACTGAGAAAAAAAGAAATTGAATCAACATAAATTATATATAAAAAAAAGATTTTTTTTTCTTTTAGAAGAAATATAGTAATTTCTGAGAAATTAATAGATTTTATTTTTAATTCGATATTATTTGTTATTATTTCAAACGATATTTTAGAGAGTTAGCCTCATCTTTTTTTTTTTTTTTTTGAGAATTTCACCCCAAGCGAGGCGGCAGTGCCACTTACACGCAAGGGTTACAGAGGATAGAGAACAAGAGTAAATTAATATTATATATATATATATATATATATATATATATATATATATAATGTCATGTCCTTTCAGGACTTGAACAATCCTGGTTCTCCACAGTTTCCTTTATATTGTCGCTTTGTCTTTGTGGTACTTGTTCCTCTTTCCATTTTCTTCAACATAAACTTTCAAAGTTACTATCATAATTCCTGTATCATGTTTCAAGCATGTACCACTGATTTCCTTTTCCGAAATTGACAGACGGTAACAGTCAGAATTGATAATTTAAAAAGGATCATTGACGAGGAATATTACAATTTTAATGGCATCTATGCCATTTACCAGTTGTCGGGAAATAAAAAAAAAAAAAACCTTGGTTGATTCATCAAGAATTGACTCGTTTCGCTCAAATACATTTACTGAAAATTTTCAAACCATTTGCCCGCTGATCTCCTCTGTGTCTCTTATCTTCGATACAACCATTAGAATTATTAACTCCTCCACAGGCTTGCCATCGTCACCGTTAAGACTTTCACCACTTCCATCATCTTTACCACTTCCACTCCAACCAGCATCGTTATTTTCATTCCAAACAACAACGTCGAAAGCCTCACAACTGAAGAGTAATGGCAAAACTTTCTCATCCATTTTTTTTGTTCTTCCTCTTACACCGTTAATTCCAAACCACTAATTAAAAATAAACATTTCTTTTCATATTTTCTCACACAAAGAAATTGGATTTTGCAGACGACTGCTATATTTCGGCGTTTATTATGTTTTATTTTTGTTAAAATATATTTCACGGAAACAGTAAGTGTCTCAATGTTTGGACAAAAGTCACATGCGGTTAGATCATCCCTGGGTAAGTAAGTTCTTAATTAAGAATCTTCAAGAATGGAACTTACTCAGCAAATCTCCAATTGAAAAAACGGTGTCATAAATGCAACCTTCAAATTATAAAGTAGTCTATTATACAGAGTGTCCATAAAGTGCGTGTGCACTTTAAAAAATTTATAACTTTATTTGTCTTTGCGATAGAAATAATTTGCAAAAAGGATTAGAAAGAAGTTAATCTATATTTTTTAAGGTTTTATTGCAATTTTATTTACGTTCCCACATGTCTTCCATTATTAGCAATACAAAGGGTAATACGATTTTGCAGTTCACGGAAAACATTTGCCAACTGATTTACAGTAATATTTGAAATCACATTAGTTATTTTAACTATACTTAAAACTAGGTATATTAAACTTTATAACATTTTTTACAGATTATTTGTATCGCAAATACAAATAAAATTATAATTTTTTTAATGTGTACACGAACTTTATGGACACCCTGTATAAATACCGTCATGAACACAATAATTTATGTCAAATATAGATATCTCACACGAAACCAACTGATGTTGAAAAAGTTATTTTACTATGTAAAAAGGACAAAAATTTCTTAAAAATCATTTTAGATTTCAGCAATTTTGCTTCTATCCGAAAAATTCTAATTTATTTCACGCGTTTCATCTCTCATCATGCTGTTTTATTTTTCTATATTTCATTTTTA